TCGTAAATATCAAATATACCATTTCCTCCTTCTATATTCTTAACAGTTTCATCGATTTGTTTAATATCCTGAAGTTGTTTGGAATGTTCTTCTTCAACCTTCATAGACATTACTTTGATAACTTGCATAAATTTTTGAAACTGTGAATTTTAATAATTGAAATATTAACATTTCTATTTCTATTTATCGTTTATATTTTCAATGGTAACAAAGAATGAACATAAATTACCTGATCAATATTCAAAGTTGGTACTATGGACATTTTCCATAACTGAGGTAAAATTTCCGTTGCCATAATATCTTTTTCAACATTTTTACCCATCTCTTCATACACAGATAGCGTGGTAATCTGTATGATATTAATGATCAGGTTATTCTATGAACAAAGGTTCCAAATATCGATGAGCCATGATGATCAGTGCATTACCATTACAGAAGGTTCCTTTGTCTTGATTCCTTTTAATAGAGGTATGAGTTTTTCGGTCATCGTAAACTGTTACAGGATGTTTTTTAGCTCGGATCATTTATGAGAATAATTGCATATTAATTCGTTGAGCAAAAAAAAAAAACATACATTGTCCAAGGATTTGACCAAAGAGTTTAGACAAACCAAGGTGGTTACCTTGATAGACAAGATTGTTGTGTGGACAAATAGATTCTAACAATCAAACATACATGTATTAAGGTAAAACAAATCACATGTAATAATAATATTAGTTAAATACAAATAAAACTATCTTCAAAGACAATACAATACTAAGACATATGTTTGCAATACCTGTATCCTTGGAAACAGAGAGGATTTAATTGTGAGTAGGTCTAAAGAGTCTATTATTGTAGGGATGACTCTAAGAACTTTATCTTGTATTGCAGGTGTCTTGGTTTCCAAAGCGTTGTAAATCAAGGGCATAACATCTGATACACCAGGTAAATATCTAAATAAATATAATCAATTATGCGATAAATTAAATTAGAACATATTCCATACTTACTAACCTTCTTTAAATGCGGATAAGGAAGTTTTCTGTTGGAATAGCTCAATTTTATCAAGACATAAAATCATGTTCTGCATAGGCTCAGGAACTGTAAAGACAGGCTTCAAAGGGATAAGAACTTTTTCACTGAAATCAAGAGGGGGCAACTTTTGTGCAATAAAAAAGATATTTGGAAGTGTAAATGGCAATAGACCATGATCCTTGATCTCCTGAAGAAGGCATGGCAATATCTTGTGGTGATTGTGATGAAAAAATTTTAGTAACTATTCATTAAAGGTTTTATCCCAGTCAACTTTATATTATTGTTACCTTGCGCAGTAAAACTCTTTCTGGAAATTGAGGTAAAATCCTAATTAAACCCTTCATAAAATTGGCTTTATCATCCTTGGACTTTTCCGGGAAGCTTTCAAAGAATTTGACAGTTGAAACTAATATGTTATCAAAATATTTGCTTGTCTGGAATTCCGAGGCAGTCATCCTTTGCGAAGGATAACGAGTGATGAGATGAAACATGACCTCTATGATAAAGTAAAATACATTAAATATTTTTAAATGATGATCATTGCTAGAGTGCAAAAAATGATTTTCGGTATTTACCATGAAGGTGATATGGAAGGTGATCATACTTTATTGATGACAATTGCTCCACGTTTTTACGATAATTATGTATGCTATTATGATTTTCCATTGGAGGTTTTCCTTTACTATGCACAGTATATATTAGGCATCCAAGGGCAAACATATCGTTTGCAACTTCAAAATTCTCATCCAGAACATATTCCGGCGCTACAACAACAAACAATCGATTATTATCAACAATCCCCACGAGTTCACAGAGTCATCTATAACAATACATACCCATATAATCGTAGTTCTTCTGCGCATAGCAGGGTATTCGGGCATCGTAATCGGGGTATTCATATGGAACTGGTGTGTCTGGATTAAAAAAGTTACTAAATCCGAAACTAAATCCAAAAAAAAAAGTGTAAATACTTCTCATTCAATGTATCAATAAGAATTACATAAAAATAGTTACCCTCCAATTTTCCAGTCTCCCTAAAGACGAACAAATTTATTCGACTTATTAATCATTCTAATATTAATCGTTCAGTAACTTGTTGTTGAAAATTTCATACCTTAACATTTACAAATATTGCCTCCGGAACTAAGTTTGAATGAACAATCTTAGCGTCGTTGTGACAAAATTGTAAACCTTTTCCAACTTGTAACAACCCTTTTTGAATCTGTTATTTAAATATATTTCAATAGTCAGTTACTGTTTGATTATTAGAGACATATTCCTCCAAGTATAACGAACCTCCAATTCATCTAATTCAAAATTTTTAATATCTTCCGGAATTGGTGACAAATTGTCGTAATTACCGAGTAGATTGGAGAGAGATGCCAATATCGGTTCTGTAGCAAATGTAATGACAGTCCTTGATTCCTCCACCGCTTCAACCACCTCAAGAACTGATGGATGTCGAAGTCTCGATAGTTGAGTAGCCTAAATCGCACAAATGACCTTTATAGAAATAATTTTTTTCAAAATGATGACCCTAATTATAAGTTTATAATAACTACCTCTCTCTTTAGAACTTGGTATACTTTTTCATTTTCTTTCCTTTCATAACCTTTTCGTAAAGTGTTATCTATGAATTTTTTTTCGAACATCTAAAAAAGATGAACACAATGATCGAATTACTATTAATCAAAAATAATTAATATGTATAAACCATTCGTGATGATTTGAATTATATGTGAATTCAAACAATAACTCACAAATATGGCTACTTTTTGACCTGTGGTCTTTTTTATTCCTGTTTGGTCAATCAATTGTTATTAGAGAAATAAATTTCCAAGTAACAAACAAAAAATATTTTTCTTACCTGCATAAATTTTCCATAATCCAGCGCTGGCGACTTGTTCGCCAACGTCATACTGACGAAGCACTGATGTTCCCGCCACGTATGAGACAACTA